CACAAGGTGAATGCAAAGTAAAATTGCAAATCTCAAAAAAAAAAAAAAAAAAAAAAAAAGATGGTATATCCATTTGCCTCACTACCCTTTACTACTTAAACCACCATGCCTTTCACTCTCTGCTCTTGGTCATTCCGTTCCAGGCACACACTTATGTTCCTTATGCTTGCTGCTGGGCGGTACCACCAGAGGGTCTTCACACTTGTCATTCCTTCTGCCATGAAGGGTCTTCTTCCTTCTGCTATTCACGTGGCTCACTCTTTACCTTCTTTTTTTTTTTTTTTTAAATGAGACAGAGTCTCACTCTGTCGCCTGGGCTGGAGTGCAGTGGCCTGATCTTAGCTCACTGCAATCTGCAACTTTTCAGGTCCAAGCGATTCTCCTGCCTCAGCCTCCCAAATACCTGTGATTACAGACATGTGCCACCATCTCCTGCTAATTTATGTATTTTTAGTAGAGACGGGGTTTCGCCATTTCGGCCAGGCTGGACTCGAACTCCTGACTTCAAGTGCTCTGCTCGCCTGAGCCTCCCAAAGTGCTGGGATTACAGACATGAGTCACTGCACTTGGCCTTACCTTGATTTTTTTTTTAAAGGAAACATTTTATGATCTTCATTTCTTCCTGTAGATATGTGTCACCATTTGATATTACTCCTTTCAGCCTAGAGGACTTCCTTTAGCAATTGCCATGGTCTGCAGGCCACACACTATCTCAGATCTGGTTTACCTAAAAACGTCCTTATTTCACCTCCATTTTTGAAAGATATTTTCACAAATTATACAATTCTGAATTGACAGACTTTTCTGCTGTCAATTCTTTCAAATAGTGGAGCCATCTTTAATATTTTGTCCAAATTTTATAATTTTTTCTCTCAGTGGGCTATTTGTCTGAAAGTTACGCTGACAGTACCCAAAGTCAAAAGGCCCTCCACCTCATTGCTTTTGTTTTATTTTTATTGAGACACTTTGTCACCCAGGCTGGAGTGAAGTGGGCTCTCCATGGCTCATCGTAGCCTCGACTTCCAGGGCTCAAGTCATCCTCGTGCCCCAGTCTCTGGAGTAGCTGGGACTACAGGCACCCGCCACCATACCTAGTGAATTATTATTATTATTATTTTTTTATTATTATTTTTATTTATTTTTTTTGAGTCGGAGTTTCGCTCGTTACCCAGGCTGGAGTGCAATGGCGTAATCTTGGCTCACCGAAACCTCCGCCTCCCGGGTTCAGGCAATTCTCCTGCCTCAGCCTCCTGAGTCGCTGGGATTACAGGCACGCGCCACCATGCCCAGCTGATTTTTTGTATTTTTAGTAGAGACGGGGTTTCACCATGTTGACCAGGATGGTCTCGATCTCTTGACCTCGTGATCCACCCGCCTCGGCCTCCCAAAGTGCTGGGTTTACAGGCGTGAGCCACCGCGCCCGGCCTATTATTATTATTTTTTTTTCTGAGACAGTCTCACTCTGTTTCCCAGGCTGTAGTGCGGTGGTGCAATCTCAGCTCACTGCAACCTCAGTCTCCCAGGTTCAAGGGATTCTCCTCCAGTCTCCTGAGTAGTTGGGATTACAGGTGCGCACCACCAAGTCTGGCTAATTTTTGTATTTCTAACAGAGACAGGGTTTCACCATGTTGGCCAGGCTGGTCTCGAACTCCTGACCTCAGATGATCCGCCCACCTCGGCCTCCCAAAGTGCTGGGATTACAGGCGTGAGCCACCGCATCTGGCCCCCTCCAGTTCATTTATTATTTTTGCATACCGCTTGTAGTCTGATAAAGCAATATATCATGAGTTAATTTATCATGTATTACTCTGACCTCCCCCACTGGGATATAAGTTCCACCAGGGCTTGTTTTGTTACATGAGTTATCTCTGGTACTTAGAACAATATTATTGTGGCCACTGAGCTGAGATCGTGCCATGGCACTCCAGCCTGGGTGACACAGTGAGGCTCTGTCTTAAAAAAAAACAGTATTATTGTGTCATAAAAAGCATTCAGGCTGGGCTCGATGGCTCACACTTGTAATTCCAGCACTTTGGGAGGCCAAGGTGGGAGGATCACTTGAAGCCAGGAGTTCAAGACCACACCCTGGACAACACAGCAAGACCTCATCCCTTACAAGAAAAGTCTAAGGCCGGGTACAGTGGCTCACACCTTAATCCCAGCACTTTGGGAGGCTGAGCTGGGTGGATCATGAGATCAGGAGTTTGAGACCAGCCTGGCCAACATGGTAAAACCCTGTCTACTAAAAATACAAAAATTAGCCGGGCCTGGTGGTGCATGCTTGTAGTCCCAGCTACATGGGAGGTTGAGGCAGGAGAATTGCTTGAACCTGAGAGGCACAGGCTGCAGTGATCCCAGATCATGCCACTGCACTCCAGCCTGAGTGACAGAGCAAGATTCTGTCTCAAAAAAAATTTTTTTTTAATTAGCCAGGCATGGTGCTAAGTGCCCGTGGTCCCAACTACCCCAGGAAGCTGAGGTGGGAGGTCGAGGCTGCACTGAGCTGTGACCCTGTCTCTAAAATAATAATAAACATTCCATAAAAATGCTTGAATGGAGAAATCATGAGTGGGGTCTCGGAGGGGACCAGGGCCGCAGTGACAGGCAACCTGGGGCTCTGACCCACGATCACTGCTGTTGCAGGAAGATGAATGCTTCCAGATGCGTGCCTGACGAGGTGGGGTTCCTCCGCCCGCTGACCTTGGCTGTCCTGTCTGTGTCCTTTGTCGTCGGAGTGGTGGGCAATGGGCTGGTGCTATGGATGACTGTCTTCCGCATGGCCCGCACGGTGTCCACCGTCTGGTTCTTCCACCTGGCCCTTGCCGATTTCATGATATCGCTGTCTCTGCCTATCACCGAGTACCACGTGGCCTCCGGGCAATGGCTCCTCGGAGAGTGGGCCTGCAAATTCTATGCCACCTTTGTGTCCCTCACCTTCTTTGGCAGTAACTGCCTCCTCATCCTCATCTCTGTGGACCGTTGCATCTCCATCCTCTACCCCGTCTGGGCCCTGAACCACCGCACCGCGAAGCGGGCGAGCCCGCTGGCCATCGCAGTGTGGCTCCTGGCCGGCATCTTGTCCTCTTCACACCTGAAATTCCGGACGATCAAAAATTGGAATGGCTGTGTGCAGTGCTACCTGGACTTCAACTCAGAGAATGTGACTTCCCAGACTTGGAGTGAGGTGGTCCTAGAGAGACAAATGGCATCAATCCTGGCCCACTTCCTGCTGGGCTTCCTGGGGCCCTTAGCAGTCATAGGTATTTGTGCCCACCTCATCCGGGCCAAGCTCTTGCGGGAAGGACAGGTCCACGCCCACCGGCCCAAGAGGCTGCTGCTGCTGCTGGTGAGCGCTTTCTTCATCTGCTGGTCCCCGTTTAACGTGGTGCTGATGGTCCATCTGTGGCGACGGGTGAACTTCAAGGAACTCTACCACTCCCAGATGCTGCTCATCTATCAGGGTACCTTCGCCTTGGGCTGTATCAACAGCTGCCTCAACCCCTTCCTCTATGTCTTCGTTGGCAGAGATTTCCAAGAAAAGTTTTTCCAGTCTCTGCCTTCTGCCCTGGCCAGGGCATTTGGAGAGGAGGAGCTTCTCCGTCGTCCTATCCCCATGGGAGGAGGAGCTTTTCTGGGTCCTGTTCCCCTGGCAGTGCCCCCGGGGAATGACGGAAGCCTTGAGCTGGAAGCTGGAAACTGTCCTTAGTTTGCTTGCAGCCTCTCACCTTGACTGACTTCTAAAACCCTGCCAAATCCTGCCTGTTCTTTCAGGAGGTCTTCCAGAAACCCCTCATCTAAAGCTCTCTGGTAGAGAAAGCTGCTTATTCCGCAGTGTCCGCTCTTCCCTTTCTTTTCTTCTTTTTCTTTTTTGGAGATAGGGTCTCATTTCGTCACCCAGGCTGAAGCACACTGGTGCAATCTCGCCTCACTGCAGCCTTGACCTCCAGGGCTCAAGCCATCCTCCTGCCTCGGCAAGCAATCCCGCCCCCCTCCACCTCCCGTCTACCCTCCCACTACCATCCCCGTCCAACCCCCCACCACTCCCCTCACCCCCACCCACCCTCGGCCCCCCTTACACCCCCACCAAGTAGCTGGTACTATAGGCATGTGCCACCATGCCTGGGTAATTTGTGGAGTCAAGGTTTCATCATGTTGTCCAGGCTGGTCTCAAAGTCCTGGCCTCAAGTAGTCCTCCTGTCTCAGCCTCCCAAAGTTTTGGGATTATAGACGTGAACCACCACACCGGGCTCCTTTTAAGATTTCTGCGGGTCAGCGATTCGGGCTGGGCTCGGCTGAGCAGTTTTCTCATCTTGCAGCTGAGCTCCTTTATGCATCTGTGGCTCAGCTAAGTGATTCTGCTTCTGGAAGGGTGCTGGCTCAGGGTGGCGACACTGGCTAATCCACATAGCTCTTATCATCCTGCAGGCTGGCTTTTTCATGTGATGGTTGAGGAGGGTTCCCAGAGACAGAAGTATGAGGCAGAGGCTCAGAACTTTGCACAAGGTGGCTACCACTCAAGCTACTGGCCAAAAAGCCAGTGACAAGCCTGGCCTAGATTCAAGGTGTGAGGAAAGAGACTCCACCCCTTGATGGGAAAACCTGAAAAGCGACATTGCCAAGGAGCACGCACGCAGGAAGGCATGTAGAACTGGGGCCATTTGTGTCATCTGCCACAGCAGCCGTGATGGAAAGCCACCGTGTCCCCAGGGAGTCCCTAGTCCAACCGGGAGATGCTTACACCCAGGCTGTGAAAAGGGAGATTTCAAATCCTAGCTCATTGAAGCCACGGTTATTTTGTGTCTTTGCTGCAACAGCTGAATCTACTCCTTCACTATTAGTTATGCCAACAACCTCTGGCATTTGTGTTAAGTGACTTAATAAATTTCCCTATTGTTGCAGCCAGTTGGAGTCAGGGTTTCTGTTACTTAAAATACCCCCCTCAGAACAAACAGATGCATTCCATGAATCCTCCTTTCTGAGGACTGAAGTCCACGTGGTCCCTGGTCACAACAGACAATTCTTTTGGCTCTAGGTTGAGGCAAAAGAAAAATGTCATGCAATCCAGAAGCTGTCACACCACATGCTCATGATTCAAAGAAGTAGTTCTGGCCGGGCGTGGTGGCTCATGCCTGTAATCCCAGCACTTTGGGAGGCTGAAGCGGGTGGATGACTTGAGGTTAGGATTTCGAGATGAGGCTGGCCAACATGGTGAAACCCCAGCTCTGCTAAGCATACAAAAATTAGCCAAAATTTCTTTGTCTCAAAAAAGAAAAGAAAAAGAAAGAAGCAGCTCTGACTTGCCCTGAGAACTCCACCTCTCAGAGCCTCACTTGCCCCAAAGTCTATAAAATAGGACCAAATGTTTCCATCTTCTGGATGAGGAGAGGATTAAATGACACAGAGACTGAGGCCAGGAAGCATAGAGGCACCTTAAAAAAAATTACCTTCTTTAGGAGGTTGAGTGGGGAGGATTGCTTGAGTCCAGGAGTTCAAGACCAGCCTGGGCAACATGGTGAAATCCTGTCTCTACTAAAAATACAAAAATTTCCAGGTGTGGTGGTGCATGCCTTTAATCCCAGCTACTAGGGAGCCTGAGGCAGGAGAATCGCTTGAACCTGGGAGGCAGAGGTTGCAGTGAGCTGAGATAGTGCCATTGCACTCCAGCCTGGGTCCCATTTGGGCTATGGCCTAGATGCCTGGGCTAGATCATCTGACATACGCGTGGGGCAGGCTCTCCCACCTAGGTTTGTGTGAGCATACTCTGTGAGGTTTGCACAATGATGGATCACCTAAGAACGCATCTCTCCAGACATTTTCCTGATGTAAATCGAAGCAGAACTATAGCAATGTTAATAATAAGCACTAACAATGCTTGAGGGCCCACTATGTGCCAAGAAGATTTGTACTGTTTTGTTTTTGATGAATCTCACCCTGTCACCCAGTCTGGAGTGCGGCGGCTCGATCTCAGCTCACTGCAACCTCCGCCTTTCAGGTTCAAGAGATTCTCCTGCCTCAGCCTCCCAAGTAGCTGGAATTATAGGGACCAACCATGACTTCCAGCTATATTTTTGTATTTTTAGTGGAGATGGGGTTTCTCCATGTTGGCCAGGCTGGTCTGGAACTCCTGACCTCGGGTGATCCACCTGCCTCGGCCTCCCAAAGTGCTGGGATTACAGGCGTGAGCCACCGCCCCCAGTCACAAAAAGCTTTAAGTGTTTTGTATCTCTTAACAAATTTCATTAGCACAAGGGAGGGCGGAGGAGAATCGGAATGGCCTTGTGAAAAGATCTCCCTGACACCCGCCTCTTTATCCTGCAAGCCTGCAGACCACGGGGCCTATTAGGGCCCACATCTGGTGACATTTTAAGTCTGATAGCGATCTCTGAGGCTCTTGCTCAAGGCTCTTTCCTGGACATTTATCTGCTCCACAACTCACAGCTGGCTTCCTGCCATTAGCCCCCTACCCTTAACCTGGGCTCGAGGCTGGCGGCCACCTGGGACTGACAACGGAGACAGACAGAACCCCCTCACCTTGCCCTGGCCCTCGGAACAGCACACGGTGACAGGGGACTGGGATTTGTTGGGAGGGTCTCAGGGAGCCATGGGGTAGGGGCTTGGGGACGAGGAGAGTTGAAGTGCACTCTCCAGGGTTACAAAAGGAGGTGGCAGGCTGGGCGGGGTGGCTCACCTCTGTAATCCCAGCACTTTGGGAGGCCAACGTGGGCGGGTCACCTGAGGTCAGGAGTTCGAGACCAGCCTGGCCATAATGGTGAAAGCCCGTCTCTACTAAAAATACAAAAATTAGCTGGGTGTGGTGGCAGGTGCCTGTAATCCCAGCTACTTGGGAGGCTGAGGCAGGAGATCCCTTGAACCCAAGAGGCGGAGGCTGCAGTGAGCCGAGATTACACCACGCACTCCAGCCTGGGCAACAGAGTGAGACTCTGTTTCAAGAAAAAAAAAAAAGGAGGTAGTAAAAAGGGGCAGAAAGTTCTGGGCCACCTCCTCTGGGTGAAGAATGCTCTCACGCCACATGTGTGAGCCGTCCCTGGGCAGAGGTTTTGAATGTCCGTCACCATGGTATCCCCAGGGCTTAGAATAGTGACTAGCGTACAACTGGGGCTCAATGCATAATTTTACACTAAATGAATGAATCCATCCTCTGATGACAAAGGAGAGATTGTCCTCCTTAATGGATCACTCATCAATTATT